CTTAATAATAATAACTCGTGGGTCTTAAATTAGGTCTGCAGTGTACTATACAGGGTGATTCTTTTCTATTTATAATACATGAACAAATTGAAAATTGCGTATTTGTCTCGATATCGCTCTCCTGATACAGATTTAGAATGAAAAAATGCTTTTCGGCAGCATTTTACAAGATGAAACTGCTAAGAGTGAAATGACATGAATATTTTGAACATACAGGGTGTCAAGGCTGGAATGTGCAGATTAGAGCTTTTTAACATTCATGTCAAAGTGCGTTTCTTGGTCAGTGGAGGCAAATTTTAGATTTGTACCTTTGTAAAACCTAAGTAACATTATCCAAAAGATTAATAAACCTTTGATTAAAGTCACTTTTGTGATATCAAAAGAGATAGACTTTCGAGGCCATTCATTATAATTAATGGGTTTGTCGGGTTTTTAGGTCGTCGTTCGGTAGAATTTCTTCTTGACGTTTCGCAAGCACGAGTGACTTGCATCTTCAGAAGTGGTTTGCTTGAACGCAGCGTAAGCGTGAATAAACCCATTAATTTTACTTTTGTGACTTTTTTATTCTCAAAAAAGCGAGGTATGCTGGTTTTACAAAGGTATTTAATATTCTAGAGCATTCTGCCCGAAAAGCCCACTAGTTTCAAGGAATGGATAGCTCAAATTTTGTTCTCAGTTGTGCCTAAAAAAATATAAATTTTTGGTGTTTTTCTTGTGAAGTCCAGTGCTTGATAGGGCAAACAAGAACTCAAATCGGGGCTTCTGAAGGATTAAATGTGTCTATCCGGACAGTTAAGTATTTCAATGGACATCAGCTAAATTTACGGATAAGGAAACACCTGGTCGATCTTAGTTTGACGAGAATGACAAATAAAAGTTATTTTATTCATGGAAGAAGATCTTGATAAACCAACTCTAAAACTTTCATTGGAGATAGAAATAAAAATATTATAATAATTGGTTACACTTTTGGCTTTTGACTTCTAGCGCCAAAAATATGATATAAAAAGTCGTTTACTCCTAACGCTCTCTTTGTTGCTTGCAATTTAACAATAATTGCAAATTAATCGATTTAACACTCACGCTGTTGTGATTCGTTTTGTAGGATCAGTCATTTGGCGTGGACGTTGTCCTTATCTCCAGAGCCCCAAATTTATCGCAGAATATCCCCAACGGAAACGTTTGAATCCGGGCTTGGCAAGAAGTATTACGAGGATTATATTCGCAATATACCCTTTCGAAATATATTTGCCGATGCCGTAAGGACGGTGCATTAGGCGTCGTAGAATACGGTTTCATTTGAATTATATTTACGAGTCCTTGCCGGTATTATGAAACAAATATGCTGCAGTGGTCTAAATTGAAATATGCAAAGATTTGCATAACGTCTGCCGGGAAATAAAGATTCTGGATATACGGGAATATAACTCGCAAATATAGTTAAGCAGATGCGGTAGAGTGCATATTTCCGCGCAAATTCGTTTAGAGGAATCATAATGTGGTTTTAGTCGGGTTAAATATTTGCTTTATCCGCTTTTTGCTCTAGATGCAAATTGGGTTTATAGGAAAAAACGGGCAAAATTTTGCTGGCTTTGTGCAGCAAGAGGGAAACGTTTCAAGGAGTTTCCTACAATGTTATCTTCGGATCGAAAAATTTTACATGCGTGTTTTTTGAGCTTAATCGATTTTTTTGGCGTGAGAAAAATGATGTAAAATTTAAGACATTTTGAGAAAATTTTTATTTTTCCAAAAAACCTTGGAAAAATTTCGATCAAAAATCAAAATTTCACATGCGTGTTTTTTGAGCTCAATCGATTCCTTTCGACGTAAGAAGGTCACAAATATACATTTATAAAGTGTTTGGGTCAATAATAACGAAGAAATCGTCGGTTAAAGATTGCGAACGCTCAAAAACGCTTAAAATGTGCCTAAAATGTCGATTATTTCGGATCTGAAACTTCTAGCATGTTTTTCAGTGAGTTCTATGCATTCCTCGCGTCCGTGAGCTGAAAATGATGTACAATTTAAGACTTTTGAGAAAATTTTCATTTTTTCAAAAAATCGACCCTCACCCTTGGAAAAATTTCGGCCAAAAATGAAAATTTCACATGCGTGTTTTTTGAGCTCAATCGATTCCTTTCGACGCAAGAAGGTCACAAATGTGCATTTATAAAGTGTTTGGGTCAATAATAAGGAAGAAATCGTCGGTTAACGATCGTGAACGCTCAAAAACGCTTAAAATGTGCCGAAAATGTCGATTATTTCGGATCTAAAACTTCTACCATGTTATTGAATGAGTTCGATGCATTCCTCGTGTCCGTGAGCTGAAAATGATGCAAAATTTAAGACTTTTTGAGAAAATGTTCATTTTTTCAAAAAATCGACCCTCACCCTTGGAAAAATTTCGGCCAAAAATCAATATTTCACATGCTTGTTTTTTGAGCTCAATCGATTCCTTTCGACGTAAGAAGGACATAAATATGCATTTATAAAGTGTTTGGGTAAATAATAAGGAAGAAATCGTCGGTTAAAGATCGTGAACGCTCAAAAACGCTTAAAATGTGCCGAAAATGTCTATTATTTCGGATCTGAAACTTCTAGAATGTTTTTCAATGAGTTCTATGCATTCCTCGCGTTCGTGAGCTGAAAATGATGTAAAATTTAAGACATTTTGAGAAAATTTTTATTTTTCCAAAAAATCGACCTTGGAAAAATTTCGGCCAAAAATCAAAATTTCACATGCGTGTTTTTTCAGCTCAATCGATTTCTTTCGACGTAAGAAGGTCACAAATATGCATTTATAAAGTGTTTGGGTCAATAATAAGGAAGAAATCGTCGGCTAAAGATCGTGAACGCTCACAAACGCTTAAAATGTGCCGAAAATGTGTATTATTTCGAATCTGAAACTTCTACCATGTTTTTCAATGAGTTCGATGTATTCATCGCGTCCGTGAGCTGAAAATGATGTACAATTTAAGACTTTTGAGAAAATTTTCATTTTTGCAAAAAATCGACCTCCACCCTTGGAAAAATTTAGGCCAAAAATCAAAATTTCACATGCGTGTTTTTTAAGCTCAATCGATTCGTTTCGACGTAAGAAGGTCACAAATATGCATTTATAAGGTGTTTGGGTCAATAATAACGAAGAAATCGTCGGTTAAAGATTGCGAACGCTCAAAAACGCTTAAAATGTGACGAAAATGTCTATTATTTCGTATCTGAAACTTCTAGCATGTTTTTCAATGAGCTCTATGCATTCCTCGCGTCAGTGAGCTGAAAAAGACTTTTTGAGAAAATTTTAGTTTTTTCAAAAAATCGACCCCCACCCTTGGAAAAATTCAAAAATCAAAATTTCACATGCGTGTTTTTGGAGCTCAATCGATTCCTTTCGACGTAAGAAGGTCACAAATATGCATTTATAAAGTATTTGTGTCAATAATAAGGAAAAAATCGTCGGCTAAAGGTTTGTCTGCTTGCAAAAAGGTAATTCCCGCAGTTCGTTTTCAAGAAAAGAAAACATTTCTGTTCCTGAAGAAAAAGTTCATGCCGAAACCCATAAGAATGCATGTGCTGTCCAAGAGGTGTGCTTATGCGCTGTTATCGCGAATATATTCCAGAGCCGTACGACATGAGATGCAATCCCATAATTCCGCTGCCAAACCTGGATTCGAAACTTTCCAAAAGGGATTTTCGTCCATAAATCTAGCGCCAGGGATCCAGAGTTAAACGAGACGTCTTCGCAGAATAGCTGGGGTGACACTGGCGAAAGCGACCGGTGATAAAGGAGAAAGGCGATGCGTATACCGACCAAAATGCCAATTTCCAGATTTAGGATTTAATTTATGGGATTCCCGTTATATTAACAAAGGAAAATTAAATTCCTTTAATTGATTTTTGTTTTATTCCTGTAAAATAGTTTAAACCAACATTTGGTTAAAAAAGTATCGTGACAAATTGCCCAAAGCATTCATTAAATGATTGGAATATTTCAGTTGATCCACACTTCGACCGAGCAGCTCCTCACTACCCCAACAGCTGTGGAAGTTTCCAGCCCATCACCGAAACCCACCGAAGAACTAACCAAGTCGATTCCGACCCTGAAAACCGATAGGATCAGTGAATCTCCGAAAGCTTCATCATGGGAAGCCACCAGCACGACCACCATGCAAGAAGGCAATGTTGAAGACTATCCAAGTGCAATCAGTCAAGGACAATTGTTCAGTATTATCGAAAATGGTAAAACATAGCCAGTATATTTAAGCTTTGGCTACATAATTCCATATATTTTGCAGGTACAATGTTCGATGTCATCGAGCTAAATGAAACAGAGCAACAGTTGCTCACATCGAAGAGCAAAATTGTATGGCCAGCATCAACTACCGGAGCCATCCAATCAACGACCACTCAATCGAGCATTGCGGATGGTGCCACCAAACTTCCTATACCAACCAAAAAACCCGTCACAAAGAAGCCGATTCCGCCGACAAAAAAAGCTCCAAAGATGCCATACAAGAAGGACATGGTTGTTAAACACCTGCTGGAAGCCCCAACGACTAGCAGGATCCGATCGGTGGACGAGATGGAAGAGCAGCTGACAAAAGAGTTCGATATGATGCCTGATATCAGCGACACGTCGCTGAGGCTGAACAGAACATTCAGGAAGGAACTGCCTCCCATAGTCAGTGAAGAAGAGCCCATTGAGCACGCCAGTTTGGAGAAGGGAAGCCAGTACGGAGTTCCCAGCATATTAAACTTTACCGCAGTAAATGCTGTGGATAAAGACGAAGCAGTGCAAGGAGCAAAAGATACAAATAGCACAGAAACTGTAGCAATTTCCGATAGAATTGAGCCACTAGTTGCGAAACAGCCGGTGGCTGACACAGCAGCAAATGCGTCTGGAGACACATCGAATTATCGATTGGTCGAAACTGCGGTCACAGAAGTGGAGAAAGTTGTTGCTAAAAAACCTCTGGTAACAGCAAGCTTGCCGGAAGACAATATCGAGACTTCCAGAAAATTAGCCGGAGTCGAACGCAACCCGATCGACCCAAGACTGTACATGCTTAACCAACACCCTGCTCTACATCCGAACAACCATAACGACTCACCTGTCTTAGGCTCAATAGCCAAAGAAGAGTTTCTTCCTAAATCCCTCATAGGGGACAAACAGTCAACACCTGAGCCTCCGGCACCAAGCGATACCAGTCTACTGGTCCAAACTTCTGATGGCGACTCCCAACTCCCTTTCCCATCTGAAGCACCCAAGAAGAAAAAAGACAGACACCTGATGTTGCATAACACCAATGTATTCCGGAAATTCTACCCATATTTGTTCAGCCGAATGCTTGGTTGAGCTCAGTAAAGTAATTGTTTCAAAGCCATTGAATGATGGTTTCTCATGGATGGTTCAGAGTGGAAACTCTGCATTCAGTAGTTGAATCATCATCGTTCGATGCAATTGCTATGTTACATACCTATTGGCATACTAGATGGGACTTATTTGTGTTCAAGCATAGATATATTTTGCACAACGTAAATTTGGCCAACTCAAACATACAGGGTGGATCTGAGTTGCGGTAAGAAAAAGTAACTTTTGAATTTTGGAATCTTCTCAACTGTGTTCGTCTTCTACAACTTGTTTTGCATAATCCCCATTTTTTAACAGATAGTTAAACAGATAGTTTTATTAATGCTTCAGATAATTAATGTTTCGGTCTCTACCTACAATCATAAACATGATAAAGTGTTTGCTGGCCGACTTAAACCTGTTTGATAGATTCTAGTCGGTAGAATTTAAATTAAATATTCCCCTTAGCGTTCATGTAGCATGCAAGAATAATTGCAATCTTTAATACCTATTTACAGTAGCCAAACTGAAAATATAACGATAGCTCTAGACCCTCATTTAAGTACATAACACAAAGTTGTCAAGATCGAAGTTTTTTATCTAGTGTTAGTTCCTTAGACCTAATCATGTTTTACCATTTCTTTGTTGTTATAAATATGCCCAATGCGCAGCCAAGAAATTTGATAGGGAAATTTTGAGAAATTTATATTTGAACTATCAAACGTAAGTTATATTTACTCAGTACACTTACGATTAGTCTAAGAATTAAATTAATGATACTGCTAAATATTTTAAGCTAAACACACACCGTCCTTTTGCTTAAGACACACGAGTTCGCAATATATGTGCCTCCAAATTAATTAGAGAACTTTACGAAACATATCTGTTACTCCCCCCAAAACGACAACATTTCTGGCAGCAACATTATTTTCCCAAAAGCTACCTACTTTTTGATTGAGAAGCAGAGTTTGTTAATATCAAAAGACTTTCGAGGCCATTCCTTAAAACTGATGGGTTTTTCGGGTTTTTAGGCCGTCGTTCGGTAGAATTTCTTCTTGACGTTTCGCAAGCACGAGTGGCTTGCATCTTCAGAAGTGGTTTGCTT